GAAGCTACAGGTCATAGCATCAACTTCAATGGCACCAAAACCCTGGCCACTATGGAAAACCCTAGCCACAGAGTCATCAGAGAAGCCATAGAGATTGAAAAAAGACCAGAAAGCATGAACAGAAGAGATGATTCCACCAGGCTGTCAATCATTTGGAAGCCTGCACTCACAAACAAAAAAATCTCCACACCACAAGCCAGGCAAACACCTGGGCACAAACAGATCCCCCCTGATACCTCCAGCTCAAACACATCCCAACCAGGCACCCAGATGAAACCCAGCTTCCTAACTAATGATAGCCGTCCATTTACCCGAAGCCAAGCTGCACTAAAGGCCTCCATTAAAGTAACACAATGCTGCCAGCCAATCAAGATACAAAAAGAGCCAAAAAACAGACAGAAGATATCAGAGACACCCATCAAGCAGAACACAGCAAACTCCGAGACCAATAAACACAGACCAAGACTCCCAACCAATCAGGATGAAGAAAAAACCATTCTGGCACAGCAATAGGCTGCCCCAAATTTAAATCTGAAACCACTGTAAAAGTCTGACTCACAGACGGACACAATACAGAAGCCTGATGATGGCAGATGAGATTCTGCTGAAACGTTGCTACAACTTTAAAAGAACTACAATGACGTGGGAAAAAACCCGAACCAAGCCGAACACCATACATATATATATATCTCGTTTCCAAATAGAGAAAGTTGAAGTGAACTGGGCATTTTTGTCTTTGCAGATTTTTTTTCTGCAAAATTCCTCGACCAGTTGAAATATTTTTTTTTAAAAAAAACCTCTTCCTTTGTCATAAAATTACAGCCCCATGAGGTCAAACCCATGAGTCATTCCCATAAAGATGAGAAGATGCATCCAAGGAACTGAGATAAGCTTTTAATTATCTTGCTTGTTTTATTGGTAGGAAATCCTTCATTCCAGGATGCAAAATTTTAACTGCATTGGGTAATGTAAACAAGCTAGGGTCTCCCTCCTCAGTGTCAAATCTTTGTAAAGTTTAATCCTCCTTTAGTATACTTTCTACTTCATCTTCCTATCTTGGTGTTTCCTGGCAAGGAAAAGATGGCCAGCTTGCCAGGCTCACATCTGAGCCAGCGACATTGAAAGCTTCCTGTAATGTCATGCATTTACTAAATGTAGCTCAGTGATGACCAACATTACATTTATCTGGATATACGTTTAAGATGACAAGAGCATAAAAAATATTAGCTGTGTTGACCTGGGGTATGGCATAAAGGCAACACAGTCAGATAATCAATAAGGGCCCCTTTATTACCTCCAACTTTGCCCCTCCAGGTTACCCTCTGGCTGGAGAAACACTCTTCCAGGAACAGCCTTTGACTGCAGAGAGTTAAATCCAAAACATGGTCAACACAAACTGTAACTTTAAGTCCAATCAACCAAACTGAGGTAATTAGTTTGGCAGGGCAGGAGCAAGAATTCCACACGTGAAGGCACGGCAAAACTCACACGGTTGGGAAAAGACCAGGAACACAGATAAGCAATGATAACACAGGATAAAGTCACGTTTGCTCCCAGCAGCTGCTGTAGTCAGCATTCAGTTCTTATAAACTTTCATTCCCAGGTGTGGCTAATGAAGGGAATCAGGGCCCTTTCCTCCCCCATAAGCCACGTTGCTCTCTTCTCCATTCCTCCCTGCGTGCACTAGGATGAAGATGGGATGGGCCTGGGTCTTCCTCTGAACTCCCTCTCCCTTGTTCTATCTCTCTCCTACTCTGCCCAGCCAGACTTTGCCCTTCCCCAGCCTCCTCCTCAGCCAACGGAGCCACACTCCCAATCCCCGTCAGCTGTTTGTCTTCCTCCTCAGATTCAGACTCTGAAAGGGGCATGACATTAGCAGAGAAATGTTAGCAGACCAACCACCATCTACAGATAGTCCTCAATTTCCGTTGCTTGGTAAGGCAGGTGTTAAATGAGTTGACCCCAATTTTTACAATATTTTTGCCATAGTTGTTAAGCAAACTATGGCAGCTTTTTCAGGGAATCATGCAGTCATTATGTGAATTCAGCTTCCTTTGTTGATCTTGCTTGTTGGAAGCAGGCTGGAAAGGCCACAGATGATGATGACATGATCCTGGGGATGCTACAACAGTTGGGCTGGTCATGAGTCACTTTTTTCAGTGGTATTGTAGCTTTGAATGGTTTGAATGGTTGCTAAATGAATGGTTATAAGTTATAAGTTGAGGTCCCAAAGGTGCTTTTCCTGAAGGCAACTGGATTCTCTTGTTTTTCCTTGAAAATGTTTTGCTTCTGATTCGAGTTCTGAAGAAATTTCTTGGATGAGAAGCAAAACATTTTCAAGGAAAAACAATCAAGGAAGTCTAGTTGCCTTTTGGAAAAGCACCCTTGGGATAACCATGACTTGGATGATTAAGAATCTACCTAGACCAGGGATTCCCAAACTTGGCAACTTTAAGACTTGCGGACTTCAACTCCCAGAATTCTTAAGTCTTAAAGTTGCCAAGTTTGGGGACCTCTGCCCTAGACATTTATAAATTGAGCAGTATCCATAGTTTAATATTCCGCTTCTTACATGGGCAGAGAGGACAAGAGACATCACTCAGTGGTTGAGCATTTATTTGCGTACTGAACATTTCTGCTTCAATCCTGGCACCTCCGGATTTGCTGGTAAAAATTGCTGCCACAAAGAGGGATGGGTGGTGGTGGTTAATGTCGAGATCATGATGATTTTGTGGTGACTAAGATAAGTCTGACTAGGTGGAAGACAAAGTTTGATGTTTGTGTTCTAGGCATTTCATAGCCAGAATGTGAGGGACAACAAAGTACTTTCAGAACTATTAACTTCTAGCCACATAGGAATTTAAGTATTATGGCTGATAGCCAGTGATAGAATGATTGATTTCCAGATAATGCATCATCCTGAAGGGCCTTCCCTTCCCTAAGTGGGGATCCTGGAACTTCCCTTGATATATGGAGGAGGTAAGAAACTGAAGCTGGAGAAGAGATCCTAGAACACTTCTGGAGGTGACAAGGAATGAATTGATTGAACATGAATCAGAGCTGCTCTTAGGGCCTATTGTGTGGCGATAAGGCCAGAGAAATGTCAATATTTCTCTGCCTTATTATATCTCCAGATAGCTGTCCAGTGGCCTGGTTTGTGTGACCTCAGATCTTTTGGGTGGAAGTGATTCTAAGGTTCACACACAGGAATCTGTGAAGAGAATACTAGGCTAATGAACAAAGTTGATCGAATCTGCTCTGGGTTGGTCTCTGGTCTTGAAACAGGTCCTGTGGAGGTTACTTCGGCTGGTTCTAGCTTGGCTGTCTTTCATCCTGTTGGAAGTGAGAAAGTAAACATGGTACTTGGGGTTGTTAGTGCAGACACCTCTGAGTTAGATCCATGACCCTCCTGGCTGGCTGAGGCTTCTTAGGAAGGGACACGTGATTAGGTTCTAGTGGTGGTTAATTGCCCTTAGAAGGAAAGGGTAGTTCTACCTCTTAAGAAGGCAAAGGTTTGCCCTCTCCTCAATGAGCTATTACTAAACTGCACCACCCTGTACAATTTTCAGCCAGTTTCCACTTTTCCCTTTCTAGGAAATATTGTAGAGAAGATAAGGTGCATTGCAACTTTAGAGGAAGAAGTGGGTTCTCGGGAGCCTTTTCAATTATGGTTCAAGCTTAGGTATAGGACTAAGATGGCATTGATCATGCTTTTGGATGATCTTTGCCAGTAGCAAGATGAGGGTAGTCTGTCCATCTTTGTAGTTCTTGACCTCTCAGTGGCTTTTGATGATCATGATATTCTTCTGGACCCACTCTAGGAGGAGGAGAGGGTGGCAAGGTGTTGTGTTGATTCTCCTGCTTCTTTTGGAATTGGTTCCAGTAGGTGTTGATGGGGGAGAGATCCTGCTGGTCGCCCGTCCTTTGTGTGCTGTCTCAGGGCTCTTGGTACTCTCTCTTCTGTTTAATATCTGCATGAAGCTGCTGGCTGAAGTCATCTGAAGTTTGGGATTATATCTCTACCTCAGGCTGCCTGAGTGATACTATCAAGGTTTCAGGGCATGGAGCCTGTGCGGGCCTGGTAGAGTATAACAAGCTTCAGCTCAACCCAAGCAAGACTGAATGGCTCTAGGTCACTGGTGTCAAACTCACAGCGTCACATTGTTGTCATGTGATGTTTCGCAACATTTTTTTCCCTTTGCGGAGCTGGGGTGAGCGTGGCCTTCATGTGATGCATCCAGCCTGTGGGCCGCCAGTTTGACACCCCTGCTTTAGGTTTTTGGACCTTCTGGTTTCAGGGACCTTTCATCTTTGGTTCTGGATGGGTTGGCACTGCCCCAGACAGATGTAATGCTCAGTCTGGGGGTCTCCTGGACTCAGATGGTAGCCATGATCAGGAGGTCCTTTACAGACCTTAGGGCCAGTTCACTCATTCCTGAATCAGAGGCCCTTGTTTACAATCATTCATGTGCTTGCAACCTCTAGTTAGGACTGCTATAATGTGCTTTACATGGGACTGCCCTTGAGGGATATTCTGAAGTTTTAACTGATGCAAAATGTGGTGGTTTGGGCATACTGGTGCCCAAGTGTGCTTCTGGGTGCAACCTTTAAAGTCTTTCATAGTTTAGGACTGAGTCATTTATGGAAACGTTTCTCTCTATCCTATCTATCTGGCAGGAAGGGCATGCTCTGAGAAACATCCAATAGGGAGTATTGGCTGGCAGGGCCCAGAAGTGAGCTTTTCCTGCGACAGCAATCCTGACCCTTGGACAATTATCACTACCATCTCTCCTCCCCAAGATTATATGGGCCCCGTTCCTGTTGGCCTTAAGTAAGGACTTGTAAACCTGACTTTGTGCTCAAGCTTGGGACCCTGGGCATGCATTCAGTCTTAGTCTGGTAATTTGTACTTGTTGACCTGTCTTTGGAATTTGCAGTGAACCACAGCTAAAGCAAGTTAAACTTGAATAACAGAATTTGTCTTCTCTTCTATTCCACAGTCATTGGTGCCACTACACAGTCACCCGGACGGTTTCCTGTCAAGTGCAGAATGGCTCGGAGACAGTAATCCAAAGAGTTTATCAGAGCTGCCGGTGGCCGGGACCTTGTGCCAACTTAGTGAGGTAATGGACTGTGTTTTAGACCTTTTTTTTTTTATCTAAGCCACAGAGAAATAGCGATGGATAAATACTGTTCTGTGTTGACAGAATTCAAAGGTTGGCAAGAAGACTTTAATCCATTTGAATGATCTGCTGAATCTGTATAGCTGTTTGGAAACTGTATCGTTCTTTGATACCATCTACACTTCCCTTCAGAGACATTCTGTACACATGTGAATTGAGATCTACCTGAAAAAGGGAGCAATTCTTGGGTTATGACCTGGTTAGCTTGAATGGCAGTGGTCCCCAACTTTTCTGGCTTGGCGGCCCAGTGGGGGTTCTGTGTGAGTGTGATGACCCAGAGTGTAACACAAACATAACAAAATGCAAAACGTAAATAAATGTCCTTTAATGCCTCCAACCTGGCCCCACCGTTCAATAATTCTCAGTTGGAGATAAAATTTATTCAAAAATAGTCTTCAAAAAAAAGCAATACAGTCTGAACTTAATGAGCAGATAGAGGTGAAATAAAAAACTAAAACAAACTACAATGAAGGAATTTCCACAATGGACCAAGATAAATAATTATCAACTTCAAGGAGATAACAAGGCACAGTCTGTTGGTAGGATGCCAACCAAGATAACTTCAGCCCAAAATAACACACACTTTGCTTCTGGCAATGCTGTTTTAACCATCTCTCTTATATATTATTCTCCCCAGCTGCAACCAATGAGGGTGATCATGGCCGCTTCCTCTCTTGTAAGCCAAGTTGTTTCCTTCTCCGTTCTTCCCTGCGTGTCCTAGGATGAAGAGGGGATGGGTCTGGTTCTTTCTCTGACTGCCCAGCCGGCCTCTGCCCTTCCTCAGCCTCCTCCACAACCTCCGGAGCCACACCTCCATTTCCTGTCGGCTGTTCTTCCTCTCCCTCAGAGTCTGGCTCTGACAAGGGCATGACAGGCATGCACGCAGGTCCATTTGTCCATAAGCGCCTATTGCTTACAGAACTAGAGCTATGGACGAATGTGAGTACCTGCCACTCGTGCATCTGGAGCTGCCCGTGTGCATGCGTTCACTCCAGGGACCCCTGGTATATGTTATAATGTTGCTAGTTTCTTTTCATTCATTCCTAAAGATATACTACAATGAAAGTGATTACCTTCTGAAGGTGATCCAGCAGATCTGAAATAGGTGCTGGTTCTTAAAGGCCACAGAGTTCAGACATCTATCATACTCCACAACTCTCAAAATATTATCTTTCTTTCTTTTTTTAACATAAAACGTCAATGCAGATGTTGTAGATATAAAAGTGTCAATATATATCCTTGAGATCCACAACAAACGTGTACACTTGAGATCCTTCTTGGTTTCTCCATGGCAGATGAGGCTCTCTTCATCAGTCATATTTGCCTGGCTTCTATGAGGTTGTTGTCCAATGAGGTCAGAGGGAGGAGGCTTGGGATTACAAATAGTAGTAAAATCTCCTCCTCCTATTATTTCCTTGATGCCTCAACTCCTCAATCATCCATTGATTAACATGCTTATCAGAAAGTCTTTCCCAGACTGGTCTGGCTAAGTTCCTTCTAAGGCAGTGGTCGCCAACCGATGGGCGGTGGCCCACTGGTGGGCCGTGAGAAAATTTTGGTGGTCCCGGGACAGAGACTCTGGGAAAATCCCCCAAAAAGTCTGCAGGAAAATCCCCCATCCCGTTTTCCTACCAATCGATCGTTCTTTATTTAGGATTGCAGGATACCCCTCCCTCTCTCTCTTTCTCTCTCTCTCCCCCCCCAAGAACGGAGCTGAAAAGCAGGTTAATGAAGGAATGTGGCTGCCTTGGAAGGGGTGGAAGCATATGAGAGGGACCTCTGTGTGTGTGTGTGTGTGTGTGTGTGTGTGTGTGTGAGAGAGAGAGAGAGAGAGAGAGACAGAGACAGAGAGAGAGAGAGAACATCACTGCCAGCTCTCTGAGCTTAGATTGGATCTCTCTCTCTCCCTCTCCCACCAACATCAGCAAGCCACCATCAGTCAAAATTCATATTAGTGATCCGCAGGATTTAAAATTATGAGTATTTATTTATTTTATTTATTTATTTTGATTTGTCAATCGCTTAGAAGATAATAGGTATAAGTATACACATAGTTATGAATACATGAAATGGGTACATATATAAGAAAAATAAAAGAAACAATAGGACAGGGACGGTAGGCAGGTTGGTGCACTTATGCACGCCGCCTACAGACCTCTTAGGAAAGGGGTGAGGTCAATAGTAGACAGTCTAAGGTTAAAGTTTTTGGGGTTTGGGGAAGAATGGTGGTCCCTGATGTCCAAAAGGTTGGTGACCCCTGTTCTATGGCACATCTCTAGTAATCCTCTTCCCAGGGAATGGAGACTGACTGTATAGCTTCTTGTGTGGTTGCCCCCATCTTTAGAGAACCTTATAACTGCATTTCAGTAGATGAGTTTCTAGGAATGGTCTTTATGGTTATAGGGCAGAATAATGCAATTTACAATGCCTATCAATGTTTCTCTCTTCCACGTCTTATACCAAACACATTCAAACCAAGGTTATTTTTTTGAGGGTATTTTCCCTCACCTTTGCCTCTTTCTCTGGAAATATTTTTTTGGAATGTCTCCCTTCAATGGCTTGCTTATCTCTTCTATGCGAGAAAGTCCACTTGAGTTCCGTTTTGTAGTTTGAGGTAGTCCAAGTTACAACTAATGTGTTATGCCACATCAAAATAAAAAAAAAAGGAGCTGACTTCTGATGAAATGTCATCATTCTGATGAGTGGCCTTGCAAGTTTCATGGATTGGGACAGTGTACCGGAAAATATCCAGGGCTGGACAAAGTTGCTGTTCTTTTTTGATAAGTGAAAAAAAAAACATCCATACTGACAGCTATATACTCTCCTGAGTATGAAGAAAAAAATAGCGAAAAAGGAGAATTAGGTTGCAATGTTAATGCAGTTATATGGCTAAAGATTAAATACACACACGCTGGGCCTTTGTTTTTTTTTAACTGTTTTCAGAGAGTTAGTTGTTTCATTCTCTTGCAGCAAAAAGCAAGAGACAAACTTACATATTTAAAAAATTGGCTAATGTTTTTTATTCTATGAAAAATTATAATACATTTTGCCACAAGACTCTGGCATAGTTTATGTAATTGTGACATTTTGTGACCATGCACTGTTGAAAATGCAAGCTAGACTTTCCATTTAGCACATGTCTTTTGGTAATTTATCCTGAGTAGTGGAGCTCAGAAACAGTAGATTTCTAAAAAAAGTAGAATGCAGGGAAAGTCCATTTGAGAGTATCAGCATAAGAAAACCATGGAGATGATTTTAGTCTAACCAGAAATGCCAAGATGCTTCATTCAGATGTTGAACATAAAATAGGTAATCCTCAACGTACTAGCATTCATTTAGTGACTGTTTGGAATTATTATGGTGCTGAATGAAGGGATGTATAACCCCTGCCCGAAGTTATGGAAGTTGCAGAGAGATCACCTTTAGGAAGGAGAGCTGGCCAATTTGCCCGTCAGCCTCCTATGGAAGTCACATGGTATCGTCCTAGAAGCTGGCACCATTTTGGAGTAGCCACAATGAATTGTCACTGGTCCCAAAATGGTTTACTACCAAAATTCCTGGTCTCCCTATTGCAGTTATTAAGTGACCGCACAGGTCGTTATGCAGAGCATAGGGTACCTTGGGTGGGAGAGGCCCTGGGTGGGACAGGCCAAGGCCCACACTGCATATATCTGCCACGGGCCTCCCAGAGCCCTCCAGACTCTCTGAGGAAACCCATGTTCCACTTTCTGCCACATGGGTCCTCCAGGCTGGTCCCATGCAGCTTCCATGTCGGAAAGCCACATGGGGAATCAGCTGCTTCTAGAAAGAGATCTATGGAAAAGGTGAGTAGAACAATTTGTGACAGGTGGGGAGGAGGGTGTGGGACCCATCAGGGTCAGGAGGAGACCCAAATCCTGGGGGACCCATGTGGCAGGAAGTGGAGCATGGGTTTCCTCAGTCTGGAGGGCTCTGGGAGGCCTGGGGCAGATATATGCAGTGTGGGACTTGGCCTGTGCTAGGTTTCCCAGGGCCTCTCCCACCCAATCTACCCTATGCTCTGCTTAACGACCTGTGCAGTCACTTAATAACTGCAATGGGGAGAGCAGGAATTTTGGTTATTAAACAAGGTAATCACATGGGCACCTCATTTAATGATTGCTACTACTTACAACTGTAATGGAACCTGCCCTGTCATAAGTTGAGGACTACTTGTCTTACTATGCTTATATGTATTTTCCATCATGCCTAACTCCAAATACTTATGTGCAACTCTCATCATATCCGACTCTTACCAGTCAAGTTAATACTGACTGTTAGTAGCTACGTAGATAGAGGTCTCCAAACTTGGCAACTTTAAGACTTATGGACTTCAACTCCCAGAATTCTCCAGCCACCATAGCATAGCTGGCTGGGGAATTCTGAGAGTTAAAGTCCACAAGTCTTAAAGTTGCAAAGTTTGGGGACTTCTTGTAGAGACCTTCTCCAGAGTGACTGCTCAGGAAGATGAACAGCTGATGCTGGAATAAACACGACAGGTGCTACTAGGTAAGGAATCTGGTTTGATGTATTGTCTCAACACCCCTTTACTTTTTTTTTACATTTCATTTCTAATGGCCCATTTGGGTTATCCAATAAACCCCTTATGAACTATATTCAGATGTGATTTTTACACATGCTTAAAAAGTATATTTTGAAAAGCTTAAGGAGAATATAGTGTTGCTCTCGGTACTGTGTGAGCTGTGCCAGACACATTTGTTATGGTTACCCAGTGTAACACTCATTCTAGCCTTCCCAGTTTGATATCCTCCATATGTGTCAGCCTGCAATTTCCAAATTTCCCAGCTAGCATATGTAGGCCAGACATAGTTAGATCCACATTTTCCTTGGGAACAATTTTCTAGCACAATAGTCAATGGGCAATATTGCCACAATTTGAAATTGTAGGCGTGGGGTTTCAT